AGTATCTGCAAGATACCAGCCCATTCAAGGAAAATTTGGCCAACAAGGTCCCATTCTTTACAAATGGCTTTTCTATGAGAAAAAACCTGTCCTAGGTGAAAGGGATGGAGCAGTCCAAAAGCTGCTAAAACCCATGAATGCCCAGGTTCCTCCTCTGGTCCAGATACACCTCAGAGAGTTGAGTATGTAAAGCAACAACAGGGCAGTTACTAACTGCTGTTTGTGCCCCTCAGACTATTTCCCCTTTTCATTCTAGCTATAGCTAGCTACTCTCTAAATGTGCCTCTTTTTGTGGCAATGAGTCAAACTTGGTTCCAAATTTGTAATATATGTCTGTACCTGCCGTGACAAGAACAAATATTTTTCCAGTGGGAAGAGTCTCACATTCTCAGGGGAAAAGGAAGTAAACTTCACTATACTAGAAATCACAGGATTCAGCTTCCTGGGGTGGGGTAGAAGAGACCTAGGTCTCAACCTTGCAGGTTTCCTCCATGACCTTCAATAAATCACTGTGTTCCTGCCTTCATTTTTCATCAGTATGAAGTGCTCAGGTTCTATCTATGGGGCAGTCAGGCTCTCCAGCAAAGACAAAAGACGTCTTGTCCTTGCTACTACGTTACACGAACAGTTCTACAAATTCAACACCAGTTCAATTTTCAGCCACCTACAATGAAAAAAACAGCACTGATTTACTGAAAAAACACTGACAACAATCTTACAAAACCAGTGGTCACAGAAACAGAATATAAGTAATGGAGCTGAGCAACAGGGCTTGACATCTTATGAAGATGCAAAATTTAGCCATCATACATGCATGTTTTGGTATGCCAGAATTCAAAGTTTATGTCCAAATACAAATAAAAGGAGGACTAAAGTCATCACTAGAAGCTTGTATGTATACTAAAGATTCTTCTGACAAGTATTAGTCAAATACTATCTGCTCTTTTTGGCTCTAAGGACTATCTGCTCTTTTTGGCTCTAAGGCAGGCCTGCACAATGAAGTTGTTTCCACCAGGACCAAAAGTCCTTCAGGGAACAATCCTTGGGATAAAAGCACAGCAAACAGGTGGGCATATTTTAGCCATATACTAATTTCCCTATAAATCAATGGACAAAAGCTCTTCCTTTCTCTAGTTACAAACCCAGAGCCAAATCACCTTCTCTGTTTTACAATCTCATTGACATTGCTCAAGTTACACATGCACCAGAGCAGATTTTGTCCTTGGGGGCACTGGGAGACCAAATCTCTCATAAATAAGAAAGGAAACAATCTGTTCACCTTAACTGAAATGGGATGAGGAATATCTCTTTCACCTAAAAAAAGGAGACATATGTCTAAGAGACAAAAGAAAAATGCCACTAATTTCACTTCTTCAGTTTGCTTCTACATTAGGAAAGACTCTTATGTACTTAAAAAGTTTTTCAGGCTTTTAAGGCAATTTTATGCAACTGCAGATCAGAAGCCCTGAAGTCCATCAGCTGTTGGCTTAGAGAAGTTGCTGGTGTCAACTTCACTGTCTTCCATCCTGTTTGAAAGGGTTGATCAAGGGTGCACTCTATTGCTGGAATTCATCAGTCCCTTTTCCTATCACTTCTTTACCTCAACACTGGTTTCACAAACATGAGGTGAGATACTTCTGCTGAGTTTCACAAAGTCCAGCCACGTCTTTAGCTTAGTTTGTTGCTGACTGGATTCACCCCAACAAGCAGATTATGGTTAGCTTCATAAGCACCAACACTGCACAAGAGAGAATGGGGCAAGTTCCTGGCCAAGGACAATGTGGGAAATGAAAGACAATGAGCAGCTGTAACTGGGACTGGTGTAGGCTGCCACAAAACCCCTAGTCCCTGACATGTACCAGAAGACATTGTACAAAAACACGACAAGTGCACATTGTGCCATTTAACACGGGGACATCGCAATATGTGTACCCAATGTTCCCATCTTGTTATGGCATTGTGTTGATCACACCAGAGGACAGACCTCACAAAAGCACCTGGCAATACAATGTCATGTTTATTCCACAGTACTGAGTGTAGACCGTCATTTGTTGCTGTGGCACGTGGACCAGCAGCCACCCCAGCCAAGCTGTCACTTTGTCTCTCCTGCCACCTACTGTACTGAAAACCAAAATATGTGTCACCAACTCACATGCATTTCCACTTGTGATTGGAAATACCTACCTCAAGTTCTTCTAGAAGTGCCACTGCATGCATACAGGAACTCCCTGCTGTCACCACTCCTTCAGCAATGCCATCCAGTGTTTCCTGCTGAAGGCTAAGTGCAGCACTTGGAGCTCTACTTAACTCACTAATGCTTCAGGGTTAAAATTAGCGTTAAATACTAAAAATTTTCCAGAGATTAGTGCACAAACCCCTCTCTCCCTTTGCTCCATGGAGAATTAATCACAGAAGATTTATTTTAAATGGTGAACAGGCTATGATACCCCACAAACCTCTGCCCCTTAATTTTCTGTTACGTTCAGTGACAACACAGGGGGCAAAGCCCAGCAGAAAGTAACTTCCCATTGAGTGTGTGATTGTCAGCCTGTGGGCAGGGGTGAAACTCCTGCTGCACTTGAGCTGCACAACCAAATGAGTGTCACCCAAGAACAGACCTGCTACATGCAAGAGTCTGGTTTAGACCGTGGTTTACCCTTGTCCTTTTAACCTCTCACTCTCAAAATGCCAACTGAGAAGGTCTGGCTGTGCCACCCATACCCTCAGCAGCACAGTGACATCCTCCCCATCCAGTCCTGCTGCCTACGACATTGCCAGCTGCAAAAAGGGCTTCATTGATGCTTGTGTCCAAAGGTGCAACCCAGGAGAAGGATTCTTTAATCACAACTATCTGGGTTCTGCCATCCTTCCAGACACCACTAACCATAGTGAACAGCATGGAGAAGGGCAGCAACGAGCCTGAGCTGGTCCAGACTAGTACAAGCCCACCACAGGGGTTTCAAACCCATTCACAGTACTATGTGGAAGCCAATTAGCAATCAACTCAAAACCAAACAGACAGATATCCCATGTTAATTACTTATGCCATTCTCCCAGAATGCACAACAAGTTTATTTTTTGGTATATTATCATAAATTTTGAAAAACTATTCAAATAGAAAACAACAAGCTTAGAATAGAAGTAATAGAAATCTTGTTACTTTCTAGTAAGAAGCTACCTTGTGGGTCCTGGTCCATTTTTCCATGAATGCTATTCCCTTTTACCCAGTCAACAGCTTAGGGCTCTATGACAGCAGCTATCTTTGATAAAAGGAGTATTCTGATGAGGGAGGAAGGCATCCAACACTTGTATGATCCAGTAAGCAATCAAATGTATTTATTTATGCTGTGACCACAGTAATCAAGAGATACTAAAATGTGGAACGGAGCATCAGTTAAATGCATTTTAAATCTGATTCTTCACTGGTTACAGTAAGGAAATTGTTGACTAGCAGGACTCTTTAGGGTCTTTACAGGCTGCAATTAGTGAAGCAGATACAGAAGATAAATTGCTCCATTCCTGCAAAAGCAAGTCTTACTTTTGCAAGTAATAGTGGGCCTTACATCTTAGCACTTGGAATTTGATCAAGTGATAAAAAAACATTAATATAATTCCACTCACTCCCAGATAAACTTCCCTGAAAAATGGGGACATTTCTTCTCCTTAAACAAATCTGACAAGGCTATAACTAAAAATATTTTTGTAACACACAGAGTTCAGTACGAACACAGGAAAACAATTGGCAAGAGCAACTGGAGTGTCTAATCCCAGCTATTTAGCCACCAAAATGCTTCAAGAGCCGTGATACATCCACTTAAAAGCCAAATATGGCTCACAAATAGCTATTAAACATGAATGAACTTATCAAGAGGCAACAGTATGTTCCTATTAATTGTACAAAGGCTGCAAAGAGGTTAGAAAAAAAGATATTGCTACAGCATCTGATCAGGAGTGGCTTTTGCTGACACCAATTTAATTTATAACAAAATCAAGGCAAAAAACTAAAGGATCACATTAGCAGTTAGTAATGCTACAGAAGCTATCCGTGAAAAGCTAATGAAATGAACAAAGCCTTAAAACAATTTGGTATTTTTTAACACAGACTTGAAAACCTGCTACTGCAAAGGCACTGTCAGAGAGTGCTTGGACATCCTCATTAGCAACTTTCAGACAACTTTTGAGGTTCCCTAAGGATATTCCTAGGGAATTCAAGAAGGCAATTTTATACACAAAGTGCTGCCTAGATTGATGTATCATTCAACCAACCTGCAAAGTTTAATCTCTGAAAGAACTTCTACCTCCTGTGTGCTTGACCACATGGAAGGCAAAGAGGTTTAAGCTTGTTTGGTTTATGGCCAATGGAGACTTTCTAACAGAAATGGAAATTAGATGACAAGCAGGTAATAAGCTGCTCCCAGAGTTTCCCTTGCTTTGAGAAGAGTGAAGCCACTGGGAGATTTTCAGAGCAGATTCTTCAAACAAGCTGTTAAGAAAAGCCGCTATCCAGAAGGCTCGACAGGAGGAAAAAGGAAGCAGGGAAATCACAGTTAATGGGATTTGGCTGCATCCAGAAAACAGCTAGGTTTCGAATACATTACAAACAGTCCTGCATTTCACTGCTGCACCAATTCATTGCTGGATGAGAAAAATTTACATAGATTTAAAGCTCCACAGAAACTTAGATTAATCTGTTTAGAATTAATCTTGTCTCTCCCCTGAAATGCCTGAAATGGATGAACATGTGACAAAAAGGAAATTGCTACCACTACACTATAACTTCTATGATTTTCTGTTGGGGTAAAGCAGGCTAGGGATTTATTTATGTTGAGGATATTTCCTAAGTCCCAGAAATGAACGCTTGCCCCATTCACCTTAGATATCACCTAGATAACTTAGATATCACTGCAGAGTACTGTAAAGTTGGCCTAAGTTTTCTGAGGGAGAGAATCACTATCCTGTCCCGTTAAAAGGATAATGTGACATCAAACACAGAGGGTTACCTCTCTCCTAGCGCATCTCTCCTTGGCACAACATAAGAAGGTTAAGCAACCCCAGCAGGAGGTTCTCAGTGCCTCCCTTCCCAAGCCTTGGTGGGGATCTCCTGCTCATCCTCCAACCTAGGATGGAGAGAATTAGTAGTTTAAAGCTACTAATTGAAAGAAAAATTGCCACAGACAATGTCCTCTACCTTCGTAAACTGATGCCAAGCACAGGACATGATTCAACACGTATGAACTCCATACTCATCCCTCCTCAGATCCCAAAGGAGGCAGCACCACAGTAAGTGCCAGGAGGAAAGAGGTCAGCAGCAGCAGAGAAATTTCTAGTCTAATCATGAGACAGACAGAAGAATGGAAACGATAGGAGAAGTGAGATAAAAGAATTAGGGGCCTGATAGCATCACACACTTTAAGAAGAAGGAGAGGAAGTTGAACGGCTGTGAAAGAGGGGGAAGGAAGAGTAAGGCTGATTTTCCCGATAGACAGGTCATAAACAGTTCCCGAAACCTGCCTAGTCGGGCTGGTTGTCTGACGTAAAGATGCAAAAAGCAACACATGTGGCATCTTTGAAGCGGAAAAAGGAGACATTGAGGACTGGGGCACTCTGTAGGGGAATGAAAAACCTGCAAGTCTTCTAAGTGCCATAAATAGAGATGAAGCTAGAGCTTTCAATCAATAATGAATGTGAATAGTTATAAAGGAGTTTTGCAGAATTGTCCACTAAGACAAAAATCTTAAAAATTGGCTCTTCACAAATGCCTTTTCTTTTGGAAATCCCACACCACTGCTGGGAGATTAGCTTTACAAAGTGAGAATTTAACTGGAATTGCAGCTCTGGGTAACAACAGGAAATGTTGCTCGCAGCAACAGAAAATGTAGGATGATTAGGTTTTTGGGGAAAAAGGAAAAGAAAGTTACAGTAACTATGCAAACAGAAAAAATAACAATGCTGTCCTTCTCCAGGACCTTTCCAAGGATCTCAGAGCAATCTACTGCCATTCCTCATTAAAGGCTGTTGTGCTACAGCCACAGCTTATTGCACCATCTAGTCCCAAGCCTGGCTGTACTCCTCACCTTCATAGTTCTGTCCCTCTGCTGATCCTCACACCAGACATCAGCTGATGGTCAGGGACCCCATGGGGGGTTTGTGCCCTGCAGGACCCCAGCTGGGACTTGGGGTGTTGCCAAGTGCTCCTACATAAGTAACGAGGCGCCCTCATCAAGAGACAGACAAGACAAAAGGTTTCCACCAAGTGGGAAAACTCTAAGCACAGAAGGGAAGGCTCTCCCCACGCTGAACGTGCTGCGCTCAGCAGCGCAGCCCAGCAGAGCGAGCGGGCTGGGAAAGCCAGCCGTCTTTCAGATAAAAGTGTAGAAAAGCAGCAGGAGAAAACGGGAAAGACAAGGTCAAGTCAGAGGGAGGCAAGCTCCAGACAAATCCTCTCCTCCCTAGAGGAAAGCACCTCAACAGACATTGCTGTGGAGTCAGCAATGCAGAAGATACTACTCAGCAGGGGAATGTGTCATGTTAAAATGCAAACCCTTGTTTACATGCTCCCTCAAGTTCCTCAACTGTTGCTAAGAATTTTAGGAAATACTTTGCATTGGACTTGTTTTATTGCATATTTCCCACCAATTTCCAGTTCCAGTTTCTACTTCTGTTCTTAATTTTTGATCACTGCTGGGACAAAACAGTAAAATTCAGATACTGCCTTGCTAAGAAAACTGGAGTAACTGGGAGTTATATTAACAATACTTAAATACAGTCTATTTAAAGGTTTGAATGCATCTTGTTAGAACACTGCATAAATTAACCCAACCTAATTCTCTAGGATGTAACAAGATCTGAAAAGCTCCAAGTTTCATGTTCTCTCTTACCACCCACTTAAAAAACCAAAACCCAACATGCTGGGGTTAGCTTAGGTTGCAAACGAAAACAAAATTCACCGAATTCAACCGAATAAATGCAATTTACTCCTTGATGCAGTGAAGATGATGCCACAACCAGCTCAAAACCAAAGCAAGAAGAGACCCACTCTGGCCCCCTCCATGCATATCCCCCCTCGTTTTCGCTGTTAGTGTTGCTCCCCCAGCCTGTCTGCCCAGGATTCCGAACCGCTCGCCCCATCCCTCCCCACTGTCCGAAACCATCCCTGGATGGAGCAAAGCACGCCCTGCTGGGCTCCCAGTCTCCACCGCACCGCTTCACTGGCGGCCAGACAAAGCAAACTCCAGTTGCATCACGGAGCAAACTCATTTTCCAGCAACCTCCCAGCCCGGAGTTTACCGCTACTGTAATCCGGTGCTGTCAACAACGCCGCCTTTGTTGTGCGCCCGTGTGCGCCGCTCGCTTGCCAGTTGGGTTGTTGTTTTGGGTTTATTATTATTTTTTTTATTATTATTATTTATTTTAAGGAGAATTTTTGCTTTAAATGAGTAATCTGTTTTCGAGAGATTTCTCCTCCGTGCTGGCTCCACCCTGTACTGTAAACGAGACATTACCTTATACAAGAATGAATCTGCTGCATTCCTCTGTCTAGCTGCCTCGCAGCACATTTCCTACGCTCACAGCAGCCCCGGCAGTGCACGCTCTCCCACCCCTTCCCCCCCACCTTTCTCTCTTTTTTCTTTCCCTTTTTTTTTTTTCCTTTTCACTGCCTCGCTGTGTTTTTGTGTAAATGATCTCACATGACTCAACAAATCCATCTGCCTGGAGCAGGCCAAGTTTGGAGCCTTCCCAGGAGGGAGGAGAAGAATTGCTTTGTGGAAAGGACCTGGAGCTTTGCCCTTTCTCTGGCTCAAATTACCCGCCTGTCAGGCCTGACGGATTTGGCTAAAAATAAAAGGAAGCGGGCCGTGAAAAGGAGATGAATGAGCTCAGCAGTTCCTTAGATAACATGGGTCTGGTGTCGCCCAAAGATCCCAGAGCAGGAACTTCGGATGCCGGACATGTAAGTGTGGTGCTGCAGTCTCAGTGAACGTGGCTGCTTGAGGACCAAAAAAAAAAAAGGCACAAAAAAAGGCAAAACCAACCATACGCTGTTGGAAATAAATGGATTAAAGACACTCAGAGCAGGAAAACTGCCTGCTGCAGATTTGGGCTTGCAAATGGGGAGATTTACGGGGTTTCCAGAGGGGAAAGGAGGCGTGGGGGGGTGTGGCAGGGGGCCGTACGTGATGTCAGCCTCCCGCCCTGACCGGGGAGCCTCTGCATCCTTCCTGAAAATGCCTGCCCAGCGCCCGCAGCGGGTATTAAGCACTTAGTTTGGCAATGTAATGACACACTGCAACAATCTGTAATGCGAGGCAGTCAGCAAAGCCCTGGCTCGAAAAGCTCTTTCTCCTAACCATTAACCATATGTTTGGCTCCGCCGCCGCCCAAGCGAGCGGGTGTTCCAGCGCACCATCTGGTTTCTATCCACACAAGCAACTGCAAAGCACAGAGTATTTCCCTCTGGAGCTGTCTCTTCCTCCCCGGCCCCCGATCCCCACCCGGCTCCCCACTCCTCTGCTCCCCATCTTCCTCCTTCGCCCCTTTCCAGCAACAACTTCACCTTCCTGTCCCACTGATGACTCAAAGTGGAGACCACGACCACCCCACCAAAGGTGCACCAGAAGAGTGGGGATGCTGTGTTGTGTTGCCCCCCGTGAGCTCATACCCCTACACACGTGTGTACACACACACACACACACACACACACAGAGGGACTGCATCCCTCATCACCAAAGTCTGGGCTATCACATTAAAAAATGTGCTCTTCAGTGGTCCAGGAGCCGCCGCAGTGTCCATCACATCTCGCTGCGCACACACACGCACAGGGAGCATTCAATTTGGATTACATCAACTCTGTGCCGACACTGCAAAAGGACTTCAAGAATGTACCTAACAACAGGAGGACCAATGGCAGTTTTATCTCCTGCTCTCAAGCAGGGCTTTCTATGCACTTCAGGTCTTGGTCCCCCATCCCACCAATATAAAAACGCTCTGGCGGGAAAAAAAAGAAGTAAAAAAGGAAAAAGAGAAAGAGAAATGGGATGAAAGAGCACTGAAGAAAAAGGAATGAAAATATTTACTTTTCCTGTGATAACTAAACAAGCTCATTCTGAAACGATAAAAAAAGCTTTCAAGTGTTATATTTTAGAAGGCCTTGTACCATATGTTTGCTTTACGATTTTATGAATTCTAACTACTATTTATGTTTTTAAAGCACTTCCATCATTCTGTTTGTTTCTGAAGTACCTATGGGACATCAGCAGTAATTTTCCCCTCAGGTTGGCCAATTTAAGATTAATCATGACCTATTGCAAGTAAGTATTCAGGGATGCAAGCAATAGGATATTCAGCAAATCCAATACTTGCTCCTTTAAAGTAAGTTTATACTCTGCAATGAGTCACTCATACAGTGTTTATCCAAGTTACCAGTGCTACGAGGGAAAAAAAGCCCATTACATTTGCAAATACATACAAATCACAGCTGTAAGCACCCAACTGCTTATACCAGGACTTGTTTCTATGACTGGATATTGATTTTTTTAATAATGTGTCATTATACCAATGTTGATACAGCAACTAGCTTCCTGGAGTAGGCAATTTAATATTAAAAAGAAGCTGGCTTTAGGAAATATCAAATCCACACCCATTCATATCCTTTTAAAATGTCCTTCTTAGTCATGACTATAGCAATGCAAAGCCACAACTGCTTTTTTCCTCACCTTGCACCTAATGAAGAAAATGCACTTGCCAGTTAGAAACAGCTCAGTCTAAGCCAATGAGCTTTGTTGATCTCAATAAAATACTGCAGAATCTCTTCAACTGTTGCTATAAATGAAGAATCTACATTGGAAAAGATGATGCATATTTTTCAAACTTCCTCCATATGAGAAATCAGTGAACGAAAAAGCACACCGTAGGCCCTTATCCCAGAATCAAACAGGCGTGGGGAAAACCATATGCTTGTGAAAAGCCTGATGACTTCACTAGGATTGCCTAAGAAGATTGAGAATAGGATCTGCTCTCAATTACAAACGTGGAGTGCAATTAGCACTGTAAACTCCCCCTGCCTTCATTCTGCACTCCCCTTCAGTGAGGGAAACAATTAAAATAATTAAAACCATAAGAGATTCATTTTAGCTAGGAATTTACTTTTCTTACAAAACAGGACCTAAATATGTTAAAGTCCATTACTTTAACATAATATGTTGAAAACATTAGTAGTATGCTTAGGCACCACACTTCAGGTTTCCTACAACAATGCAATGAGAAATTGTCTCCATCCACACACAGAAAACGACCAGCAGTAGTTCTCTCTAAAGCAATAATGATCTAGGTCTGGGTCTTTCAGCAGGTAATGATCTGCTCTGATCCAGAAATCCCTTTAAAGGGGGAATTCAAGGGAAGTATTTGTAGATTCAGGGTTCTGCAGTCTGAAGGGACTGCTCATCATTTGACCTTCATCCATGAAACAGGCATGGAGCTTCCCCGCCTACATCCATGCAGCTGTAAGAGGTCGAAGGAGAGACTCTCCTAGGGTTAAAAACAAACCCATTAAAAACCCCCCAAAAAACCAAAAAAACCCAGTCTCAGATACAATAGCCTGACATAAAGAAGGAAGCAGCCCCAGCATCACTCCCCAGCACTGTGGGAACACCTACACCCTCTCATCTGGTCTGAATGAATTAACAGCCAGCTACTGGGTCTTGTTATACTTTTTCCCCTTCCTCTACTCCTCAGCCCCTGACAAAGGGCCACTGATAGCCTGAAACCCGGCCAGTTTTTAAAGCATAATAAAAAATGGTGGCACATTATTACCTGAATCCACCGAGTCCTCCTGCCAACAACGATGTTTATGCAATCACATTTTTCTGTTTTTAAAAACTTCTCTCTTGCCTCATTGCTCTGTCTGAAAAACAACACAAAAGAGAAAATTGATTAACTGCAAGCAATTATCTATTATTTGCATTACAGCAGTTTTGCAGTAGATATTCAGGTCTTTTATTTTCTGCCTCATCTCATAAAAACATTAAGCAAGAAAAAGTCCTTTCCCCAAAATCACTTATTGATCAAATAGAAGCAACAGATACAGTTTGGAGAGGCAGATGAGATACCACAGCCCGTCACTTGTAGAGCTACAAAGGAGAACACACCTCTCCTATGCTCGGATCCCCTGCCCTCCTCCCAGGCCATCCTGCCTGGCAGCACTGGGACCAATGCCAAGCAGACAGTGCCACCAAAAGCAGAAATACAGAGGGAGAGAAAGCTAATTAAATTTCTTTCAGTATCAACAGCAAATACATGCCACTAATAACCAAAGCAGTTATGTAAAAATAATACTTGCAAAATTGCATTGACAGTAGATTACTTAATCATAAAGTTTCCCCATACTCGGTACCTACAACATTATTTAAGTAGTGACTCCACTTAAAATTCTCAAAAGGGTGTTTTAGTGTCTGTGTTTACTCCTTGCTTCCCATATTAGTAGCTTTAAGCTTTAGTGTCAAATTCTCCTGCTAATACACTTCATAGAAGACATTTCTACATTTAAATAAGGAAGAAAAAAGCCCATACAGTAGAAATCCAGCTGAAGACACAACCTCAACCCCCCACCCCCAACCCCTCTGAACGGACACAAGACACATGATAAGTAAAGGAAACTGGATTTTCAGTACTGGAAATACCATTAGTGTCAGTATTTCATTGCTTCCCCTGAAAGCAAACAAAACAAACCCCTTCACTTAAAGAGATGCAACTCAACCATGTGTGTATGATCCCTTGCCTACCTTCACAAGGGCATGAACAATTAAACCCAGTCACACAGCGCAGGGTGGAGGATATGGCTGTCATACCCTTCCTGCACTTCAGGGCTCAGGCATTTGCCATACTCTGTCCATTGTTGACACGGTTGACTGACAGAAAGTTTTGCTGCAAGATTTTGGTCACAGTGGTTTGATTGAGACATTCCAAAAAAAGTGGTGGGAAAGACCAAATTCTGCCATCTCTGGAACAGAGTTTAAACCTGGGTTTAGCCTGATGCCACACGAAGCAATGAACACAGTCTAGTTCAGGGCAGAGCAGAAGAGAGGTGACCTTTGCCTCTGGCATCTGCTGCCAACCAGGGCAGGGCCACCTCCCAAGCAAAGAGGGTCTCCTGATCCAGGTGACCTCTCTACAGCAGCCTGGAGTCATCTATGCTCAGAACAAAGCAGCCAGGATCTGAGCCAGGGGATGGCAGGGAAAAACATGTCAAAACAAGAAATTTCACTTAATGGGGACAGAAAATTGGAGGGTAGTATGAGGAGAGAGTAAGAATTAGGGTTAGACATGGAGAGCTACTTGGTGGCTGTGCAGCTGCAGCACTGCCAAAGAATCACATCCAAGACTCTATGATGCCAGTGGACAATGCCATTTGTTTGCTCCCTGCGAAGTCTTTGGTGTACCTCAGGTATGTTGAAGAGAGAACGCTGATGAGTTCAAGCACTCAGCCCTGAAGAGGGAGGGAAATGTGGCAGGTGAGCGCTGCCTGCTGCAGCTGCCTCCACTCTTGGCACATGGGATGTACCTGAGCTGTGCATCAGGGTTTCAGGGTAAGAGCGCATGACAAGTCTAACAGCTGCTGGCAGCAAGGATGGCAGCCACCCTGACACTCCCTGCCACCTTCTCAGCGTCCAGGCAGACGAGCTGTGCCTTGGAGAGCTGCCATGCAGCTCCAGTGAAGCACTGCACCAGTCATTTAAACTCAGTATCCCTCAAGCGGCCATTAACAGTGAATTCCTAACCAACCTGAAAACCTGGCTTCTCTCAACTGAAAGTAATGAACAGTCACAGCAGAAGGGAACTGTATTTCCAGTGCACGAAACACTATGGAGTATGGAGACATCTCCATACTCCATAGCAAGGCTGCAACATCCTCAGGATCCTGTGTCCTCTTGTTTTAAGTCTCTTCCTGTAAAGAGAAGTGGGACTTCCCTAATAATTTGTCAAATCCTGAAGGCTGACACTGGTAAACAGAGTAACATCGTGAGGAAATGACAAACTTCTTCAGTAGGATTTGAGTACTGTGCTATAAATAAAAATTTGGGCCAAATATGGGACAGCAGGGAAAAAACAAGATGCTGAATAGGGAGTTTGCCCAGGGCTTGCAGATACAGCTGGCAGCAGACAGGCAACTTGCAAAAAGAGAAGAGTGTGATGACATACTCAGAAACCATCCATGCATTTAGAAAATCTGCACAAATCCATTTTGTATCGGTGTCACTCTGAACTTACAGAATCATAGAATGCTTTGGGTTGGAAGGGACCTTAAAATCAGTTCTAATGTTGCAATGTATTTGTGTACAAAAATAAAATTAACAGTAAATAGCTGAAACTTCCTTGGATATTATGACACCTTAGACATTCATAGCTTATAACAGAGCACAGGTCTACAGTCAAACAAATGCACAACACAGGAAGACAGACCTTAAAGGTAAATAATTCAGGACTTGAATTCTTTAAGGTAAATAATTCAGGGCTCTAATGAATTCACTGACTGTAAATAGAGAGTTCCACTGTGAGGAACCCTCCAAATTGCCCTACATCCAATCCTCAGGAGTGCAGGGCAGAAAATTGTCAGCACAAACATGTCTCAAACATTCCTGGCTATAGCAGCAAGACTCTAACACAAAAGAAGTCTTGGACAGGAAGAGATTGCTTCACAGACTGGTTCCAGTGCTCCATACTGTGACCATGGGGCTGCTGAAAAGGACGTGCACTTTCAGAAATACCACTTGGGCAAACAGTGAGGTGGCTCTGAAGCAAGGAAGCTGACCCATGTTGCATCCAATAGAAGCACTGGGAAAACCCTTCAAGGGTAGCCAACATAGCAGTTTGGTCTGGCAGTGCTAAAAACACACAAGACTATGGGTGAAGCTGTAAATCCTTTGTATGACAGCCTGTAGATGAAAAGAAACCAGAGAACCCCCTGTAACCTCCTCACCTCACAAACCCTCTTCTCTATCCTCTTCAATTGAGTATTGCCAAGTGCGTTCTATCCACAACTGGGAATTCCTGGGCATCCATCAAGAAGCATTTCCAAATCCCATCAACAAACCACAGGATAAATCCTTAAATTCTTAAACTACCAGCAAGTGTCAGTCTTCCTAGCCTGCACCCTCTAGTACCAAGGAGCTGTTTTGCAAGCAGCAACCATTCCTGACCAAGCAAAGAAACTGTACCGAAGTTGAGAAGCAGAAAATTGTCAGTTATACTATGTTGTTGCTGCAAAAAAACCCCAAACAAACCTACCAGGATTTTTATGCTGTCTCATACTCTAAAAGTAGTATTTAAAACCACCCTAAAGTTGCCTCACGCCCTCTTACAAGACCTACATGAAAGCACTGTGGAATAAAATCCCGCCTTTTGCCGCCAGACAAGGGCATGTCAGCAGCGATAGCCAAGGCGCTGCAAGGTTGCTGACGAGCCTGGAAATACTGTATGGGAACATGCCCGAGGATCAGCAGTCAAAAACACAACTGCTGCTCCCACTCTGTGCCCAGTGCAGATAGAGATCTCATCACCAGCAGAGATCTGGGTCACCACAAGGAAGCTGGAGTTATCCAAGCACCATCATCTTTTAGGTAATGTTCCCGAAAGTGGAAATAAGTATGTGGCAAGGTTTCATCTGACAAGATGCTGGTTGTAAACAAAAACAGTGACTGGGGTTTCCTTGCTCCTTGGTGATATCATCGAAATGGAAAAAAACCCAATGAATTTCACCTGATGTCTTGTATCCAAAGTGTTTGCAGAATGACTTTGCTGCATATGCAATGTTCAGACTGCAGTTTCTCAAGAGCTGGCAAATGCACCTCGACTGCCAAAGCCTTCCTCCTCCTAGACATAAGGCTAAAAAGTATTTGTTTGCCTATCTTGTACTTCAAAACTGAAAAACCAAACGTGAGGAAGGAAAGCACTATAAAGACAACACTAGAAAGACAATGTTCAAATTGAAGTATCAATTTTAAACATATGATGTTTGTGAAAAACAAACATGCTGAGTCTCCACACAATCAAGTAGCTGATACTTATCCAGGTGCAGGACTGAAAACCAGATCAGCTTTCCAATCCCTGCTAACCAAAACTTTTGCAACCTTCCCGTACGTCATTTCCTTGTTTACATCTCATGGTATGGAAGTTCAACTTTTGGAGAAACATGAATGATAAACCTAGAAAGTGAAATGCGATATTATTTACAGAGTAGGAGAGCACGCCGTTCACAAGAATTCGTAGGCGCACATATCCCAGCCCTGTTCCTCAGTTCAACACCCACTCCTGAAATCCTGTACCAACCAGATTAGCCCATGTACACATGCCTGCACTCTTGGAGAAACAATAGTCTCTTTCAGTCCATACAATCTTCTGAAGAACCAGGCAAAAACGTCATGGGAGAAGTTAGGAAATATCTGCAGAAAACAGCACACA